GATAGAGACTAAAAACACGTCAGCTCGAGAGACTTGAAACTCGCAAACAATTCCTCACTCAACTGTCTGCTGTAGGAGTATGCTCCCTGGCGCTGGTCCTCCGACTGTCAAAAGGCCTTTTCCCATCTAAAGTGTATGCTAAGTTTGGATCTGCTGCTCATGCACTATGGCCCGACACTGCCGATCGTTGTTGCTGCAGGCACCTCCAACCACGTCGTTGATGCCGTCAGTTCACATACTTTTTCCGGCGGATCCGAAAAGGTGATCATGCATGCATAATTAACTTAAATCCCTGCTGAAAATAACTATGGCCAAATCGAGAAAGAAGCATTAGATACACAAGCCACAAGTTGCTGTATGGCTAGCTGAACTCTGCTCCCACTTGCCCTGTAGGAGTTCTTATCATTGCTTCGTTCTTAGTTCACAATTATTTTCTAAAGATTGCTAACTATTGCTAGCAAATCCCCGATGTACATTAACAACTCGGCTGATCATAGTACTTCTTTTTGCGATATATATGGCCGTTCACTTAGAGCACCAGTATGCACATTGCTATTATTTTACGTCAGTGCTACGTTGGCTTTTATTGTGCCCTTTGGGCACTTATAATACAAAAAATAACTTATTTGATTAGAGGGGATAAAAGTAACTGCTAAAGATCACCCACTTCTTTGTTGCACGGGAGGACGATGGAGGAATCTTGCCTTTGCCCTCCGAGATGGACGTACTTCAACAACGTAATCTACGCCAGGATAACTGCCATATTCCGATATCGAGGCTTGGTTCAGCAGCACTCTAGGTAGATGCTGAACGCTCGGAGGGATCGCGGGGGTTACGAACTACAACGGCACAGAAAACTCAGTGAACTGAACAAATCGCCCTTATCAAGAAAACCTGCGACCCCTATATCAAGAGCACGACGCTGCTGCCCACTTCCGAAGAGACAATCCATCTTACAGAAAAATCACAAGTTCTGAAATGAGCAAATTGGCCATTTTTGTATCCAGAGAAGCCCCCAACAGACTCGCATAAGTAGAAAAGTCCGCATATACAGCCCACACCACCAAATCTGTACAGTGGAGACTGGCGCAGAGGTCTCCTAGGAAACCGTATTATCACTGCCGCAGCCAAAATGGTAACTCTTAAATCAGAGGCGCCTATAATCCACAAGGAATCTAATTTGTTTGAGCTATCAGCCGTGGTTTAGCAGTTTGCTGACTGAAGAAATAACTCGAACCACGCAGTCAGTCACGTGAATTTGTGTGAAGTAACTGACTCAGTGTCAGGTTGCAATGGAGCCTTCATAATTTGACCTTCATGGCACTCCCACTCATAAGGATTTCTAACAGCTGTGGCGGTACGCTTAGGGGCGGCTCCAGTCGCGCCAGCTATCTGCGTCCGCTCCTGCCTCCGGTTTTCATGACACCGAGCGCAGGTGGGGAGGAAGAGAGAGTGCGGTAGATAGAGCTCAAGTCTACTACCACTAGAATCTAAATTATGTGTAAGTCACCGTCCTTGCGCAAACAGTGAACCTAGTCAAAACCAAGGGTCGAACCGCGACAAAGTAGCGGGTGTTAACTCAATACCATTATTTGGTTTCTATTCGGTTACCTGAGCCTCGTATATTCCCGACCAT